CCGAACCCACGACCTGCGGGTCAGCAGGCCAGTACCTTAGCCACTAGAGCACCGCGGTGGGGCCATGTATAGACTCTGCCCGTCGAGGTGAAGCGTACTAGTAGATGCCACGAGCGGTTCCGAGCAACCTAACATGTATCTTGCAGAAGACCGAAGATCTTCGCAATGAAGACCAGATGGTTTTGAGCAATCTGCATCTTTTGAATGTCGCCTTGCTCTGGTTGGGCAGTTCGCGACTTCTCAAGACGAATAAAACAACACGCTGATGACGATAAAAAATAATTATAGCAAGGCGTTTTGGGCCCGGTACAGGTGCCTTGTTCACAAGTGAAAAACGTTATATAACAGAAATAACCAGACTGCTTGCACACTGACTTTTCACTTGTGCACAAGGCTTCTGTACGGGGCCAAAACGCCTTTTTATCAATTGCCTTTAAAGCAATAGCGTTACAGAGCTGATTTCGAAGATACTTCGGTGTCAGCGTCGGCATTGACGTCGTTGGTTGATAGCGAAAAGTCATCATCTTATGCGTCACCAAAAAATCAAAAACTATGCAACTGAAATAAATAAATGGTGAAAGAACTATTCAGCAGACTGGAGACCAAACCAGGGTTGTTGCGGCCCAAGTGGGGACCAAACCCGGGTCGTTTGCGTGACAAGTGAATGTTCTACCACACGGTCACGTCTCTGCTTGTGAAAACAGTGAAAAGAACTTCCTCTGCTTGGAAGTGCAGTAAAAGTAATTTTCATGCTTTACAAGCACAAGCGTCCTGTCCTGTACATATTGCCACCTGATATGCTTGGGTGAGATCCGGGAGTGGAAGAAGACAAAGACGATCTGTCTGAGCTGCTGCTTGGCTAGTCGACTCAACGAACCCAATAAACCAAGTTTGGCTTAAGAAACGTGACAATACTGGTGGAGGTGCTGGGTACAACGTCTCACGATCCACCCGATGCCCAAGACCCCGTCCAGCAGCCGGAACACAAGCCCTGCACCCGTGGACACTCCTGTTCACAGAGTAAGCCGCCGCCAACGAGGCCTACCACCTGAGACACCAACCACTGACGCAGCGACTATGACTTCGACACAAGATCCCGTGCAAGCTCCGACACCTTCCACGCCGATCTACTGCACCGTCCAGAACCCGCTCGTGCCTAGCCCCTTTCATGGAGAGCAGCATGAAGATGTTGACGACTGGCTGAGTGAGTTCGAACGTGTCGCAGCGATAAATTACTGGGATGATGCCGCGAAGCTCCGGAACGTGTACACTTGCCTGAAGGACGGTGCCAAGACGTGGTTCTTGAACAGGGATGATGTTCTGACATCTTGGCGGGAGTTCCAGCGTCGCCTTCTGGAGACCTACAGGAGTCCCGACCGCCGCGAACGAGCGGAGCGTGCACTACAATCACGCATCCAAATGCCAAACGAGACCGTCTCGATGTACGTTGAGGACATGACATGGCTTTTCAAGCGAGCGGATCCTGCTATGGCAGAAGAAAAAAAGTTGCGCCACCTCATGCGAGGTGTGAAGGAACAACTTTTTGCTGGTTTGGTGCGTAGTCCCCCTAAGAGTGTTGCTGAGTTCCTTACTGAAGCGGCAACAATGGAGCAAGTACTGCACCAACGGTCTGCCCTGTTTGACCGTCAAGTGAATGCTGCCTCAACCCCCGAAATTTTCGCCACCCCTGGGAGCAAGAGCCCCGAATGGATTCGCGAGATCATCCGATCTGTCGTCCGGAAAGAAATGGAAAAGATGTACGGGACAAGACCAATCGATGTTGGTTCTATCACCAGTGTCATCCGTGACGAGGTCCAACAGGTGTTGCACGCCCATCGTTTTCCGCTGATGTCGGTTGATCCGGAAACGGCTCCTGTGTCTACTGACAGTCGCCGTCGTACGTACGCGGAAGCCTTGCGATCTGCCACGCCTCGTTCTGGTCAAGGAGTCCCGACCCAGCCAGTGCCGCACGTCCCGATCCAGACAGTGCCGCACGTCCCGATCCAGACAGTGCCGCACGTCCCGATCCAGACAGTGCCGCACGTTCCGCTTCAGACAGTTCCATACGTCCCGATCCAGACAATGATGTCGTCAGTCGCGATTCAGTCGGCGCACGCTGGTTTGGACATCGATGGTCGCCGTGCACCGACGCGTAAGTCTGATCTCTGGCGTACGCCGGACAGACGACCCCTCTGCTATCATTGCGGTGAGGCTGGTCACATTTACCGTGAATGCCCATACCGGCAACTTGGCCTGCGTGGATTTTCCGTCAATTCACCTCATCCCCAAATTGGTCAAAGGCCGAGGGACATCGAAGAATATCTCGCGCAACAGCGTGCACCCTTTACACGACGTCAATCACGGTCACCATCCCCGAGGAGACCCGCAGCCACTGGGTCACGTTTCGATGTGACGGCACGGGAACGCGCTCCAAGCCCCCGTCGGGAAAACTGAAGGCAGCGGCCTTCGGGGGCAAGGTCGCTGGGACTCAAAGTGCGGAAGACCTCCCATCGACGCTTGCACGCAACACGCAAGACATTCAACCAGAGAATAATTGCAGTACCGAAGAAACGCCGAAATCCACATCTGAACCCAGTGACCGCGTGTCACTTGACATACCTGTGCTGATTGACGGTTTTCAGGTCAATGCATTGATAAACACTGGTGCAGACTATATCGATTATCAGTGGGAGGCTAGCAAAAGATCTCAGGAAATTGATTACGCCGTGGAATGAAACGCGAATTGGAACTGCTGGAGGACACGTTGTAACCCCACTGGGTCGCTGTACGGGAAGAGTTAAAATTCGTGCGTCAACGTTTGTGCTGAGCTGCCTCGTTCTGCGCGACTGTTCACGTCAGCTGATTATCGGCATGGACTTCCTTCGGGAATATGGTGCCATTATAAATCTCCGTGAATGCATCGTGACCTTCTCGACTCAAGGCGCAACAGATCGAGACGCTGATAACTGCCGTAGACCTGCGCTGCGTGTTGCTGACGACAGTGTGACGCTGCCGCCCCGAGCGACTGTTCCCATCGAAGTCATTTGTGAAGACCTCCGGGACGGTGACGTGGTGGCTGAAAGCAACCTATCACTTCTGCTACTCCAAGGTGTGTGTGCTGCCCGAAGTGTTGTGCGTGTCCGTAACGGACAGTCACAAATACTAGTTACGAACTTCAACTACGAGCACCGGCATCTTTTCCGCGGAACCACCGTAGCCTACGAAGACCCTGTTGCCGACGTCACGGAGTGCTTCGCGTCCGAGGAAACGCATGAGGATGAAGAATTCCTAGACCACATCGACATTAATTCGACGCTGTCAGACAAGAGAAAGGCTGCACTTCATGACCTTTTAAAGGAGTTTCGGTCTTGCTTCGCCTCTTCTTCCAAAGTCCATCAAACACACCTCGCCAAGCATCGAATTATTACCGACAATGACGTCCGCCCCATCCGGCAGCAGCCTTATCGCGTTTCTTCCAAAGAACGTGCGGCTATTCAGACACAAGTGAAAGATATGCTCGATGACGGGATTATTCAACCATCCAGCAGCCCTCCCTATCGGAAAAATTGCCATGGTGGATACTGGAAAACATGGTGGGAGTAGTGGAAACAATAGTGGGCATGGTGGAAATTATGATGGCTATGGTGGGACGTAGTGGAAAATATGGTGGTTATGCTGGGACATACTGGGTGGTATGGTGTACAGATGATGGGTAAAGTGGAAATGATGGTGGAAAGCAGAGGCTAGATAGTGGGCAATAATGGGACACTCTGCCCACCATTGCGATAATGCTGGGAAGCCCTAAGCATATGGTGGGTGGTGCTTATTATGGTGGGCTACATGGTGTACCAAGTTGAGAAACTCATCCCACCATTGCGATAATGCTGGGAAGCACTAAGCAGATGATGGGTGCTGGTTGTTATGGTGAGCCACATGGTGTACCAAGATGAGAAGCTCTGCCCACCATCGCGATAATGCTGGAAACAGTAAGCAGATGATGGGTGGGCTTATACTGGCGTGCAATTTATATAGTGTACAAAGCTGGGATCTGTACACTACATGTTCTACCACCATGATTTCCACCGAAGGTTAGGCCTACTGACCGAGCCCGTACAATTGTGTTATCCGTGCTTCAGGGTTTCAGAATACATGATTACGACGATTAAGTATCAATTAACCTAAATGAAGCATTTTTCATTGCGTATGGTGTCCGCTCAAGAAGCAACAAACATCGATGCGACGCGATTAAAGCACTCCCAGAGAACGTAATTAAGTGTCTTCTCACCGACAGCCGCTGGTCACACTCGCCGGCACTTCTCTAGCTTTTGTACGAGAACTCAGACGTGGCAATTCGTGTGCTTGGTGAACCAATATGATAGCGTAATGTTTCCGGCACACTGCATTCGTTTTGGCCAAGCCGTTATGTAGTTGTTGCTATAGCGAAAGAGCTACAGCATTGCGCTGGCGCGACCGTCCTCTACATTGCGCGAAAAGCATCGCAATAGTCAATCAAATAAATTAGGCGGGCGAATCCATGCCTAGAAGCATCATAAAGCGTGAACAGATGTCGCCCTTTAGAACGAGCGCGAAACGGATATTAAACTTGGCAGACCCCGCCGGTAAACTGTCGCTGCTCCCCAGTCCACTTGTTTTTTTTTCTTGAAGTTGTGAATTGCCAAAAATAGCACTAGTGTCATTAACATAGTGGCAATCGTTACAGGCCGCAGTTGCTTGTGTTTAATAAATGTGAAATATTTAGTAGCAGGTGTAGATCTTGTCTATGTAGTGTACACGACAAACATAACCAAGTTGAACCTTAAGTTTGTATGGTAACTAAGTATTTAACACGCAATCAGCGTCATGTTGGTGTGGCGCAGTGGTCATTCTTTCGTCGGCACTCACGCGCGTCGGACGCAGGAATCATGTGCTCCGTAGGAGCGGCGTTTGCGGCACATACTAGCCGCGGTAACAGGATGACCGAAGACCAAGACGCAGGATATGAGATTATTTTGCCACCACTGCCCAAGGGACGCGTCGCGCAAAACACCGTGTTTTTACACGGTGATGTGCGCGGCAGACCGTATCGAGTCGAAGATTTCCGAGACGCGCTCGGACCTACAGGACTGCTGCCGGAGGTGTTGGCACTGGGGGCCTACCAGATAAATCATGTCTGGGCAGTCACCATGAACAACGCGGATGCTACGAAACGCTTGCTGGATGTGAAGGAGTTGAAAGTCAAGGGCCGACGCTGCATCATTGTAGACCCCCAGTATCAGCAGGTGCGGCTGCGTCTTCATTGGCTGCTGTACGGCGTCAACGATGAAGACGTGCGAACGGCGTTGGCGGCTTATGGGAAGGTCGTACGAGTCACAAGGGAGCATTGGCGTGTTCAAGGTGTCAGCGACAAGGGTTCAACCACACGGACTGTGCTTCTTAAGCTCAAGAGTGGCGTGAAGGTTGAAGATCTCCCCCATCAAATTAGGGTGGCTGGTGAACTGGCACTTGTGGTTGCACCTGGTCGGCCAATGCAGTGTCTGCGCTGCCAAGGTACCGGCCATGTTAGAAGAGATTGTAAGGTACACCGATGCTCGCGTTGTCGGCGGTTCGGCCACAGCGAAGATGCGTGCATGCGCACGTACGCATCGGCTATCGGACCAGCCGAAGGTGACGACACAGCAGAGTTGGTGATGGACGTGACCGAGGCTGAAGACGCGGCGAAAGGCGCAGGCGACGCGGTGAACCCTGAACCTTCAACAGGTACAGTTACACCGACTGGTGGTGATGAACCAACAGCCAAAGCAGACATAGCATCTGGGGAGGTGGTTACTCAGGAGCCAGCCGGCCAAACCGATGAAGGCTTCACAAGCACCTTATCGAAGGAGCCTGAGCCGGTGGAATTAACCGAACTTCCAGTGTCGTGCGAGAGTATCAGTGGTGGGGCGCCAAGCAAAAGACCCCGCGAGCAGTATGCAGGACGGCGTGAGGCGTCCAGCGAAAAGCAAGAAGAGGGGCCACCTGCGAAGGCGACTTCGTTCAGACGCAGCAGCACAAGGCTGCGTCCCAACCCGATATCGGACAATCACTGGCCACCTTTGTCCTCCAGTGGCACGGGTCCACCTGGAGGCTCCGAAGATGTCTAGCTCTATGCTAGACGCCGAAGGTAAGCACCATGCCCCGGGCTAACTTCTTCACTGTGTAGACATGGCTGTTGCACCGAAACTTAGAGTGGCAACGTTAAATGTTCGAGGTCTCGCCGCCAAGCGGAAACAGAGCCAAGTCTACAGGCTACTTGTGGATCATGATCTGGATGTACTCGCTGTACAAGAAACAAAAGTAGACGGTGAGGAGGAGACCCGGGGCATGGTGCTGAGGTTTACGGCGCGTTACCACGCAGTTGTAAATCAAGCAATAGGCACGTCTGCAGGCTGCGTTTTGTTCATTAAGAAGTTACCGGGTCTGGTAGTGCAAGATACCTTCGCTTGCCCATCTGGTAGATTGGTTTCCTGTGATTTTGTATTCAATGAATGTCAGTGGCGTATAATGTGTATTTATGCACCAACCATTTGCGAGGAGCGATCACTTTTTTTTTCAAGCCTAAAGCAGCACTTCACTTTGGAAAGGAAATATGTATTACTTGGTGATTTTAACTGCGTCCTCAACGGGCGAGATCGAGCAAACGGACACGCCATTTACGATAAAAGTAGTAGGACGCTAGCGGACGTAGTTACTCAATTCGAGTTAGAAGACGTGGGCAGCTGTATGGAGGGAACGCGGGAGGTGCGTTTCACACATTTTCAGGGGAATAGCCATGCGCGTCTTGATCGCATTTACGTGTCGCTTGAATTAATAGCCCACTGTAAGACATATGCTGTCTACCCAATACACTTCAGTGATCATTGTTTAGTTAAATGTGATATGGGAGAGAAAACAAAAGGTGGAACTTTCTCATGGGAGCTGTGGAAGATGAATTCCACTTTGATCACTGACGAATATTTCTTAGATCAGGTAATGCACTGTATCAATGAAATATAAATGGATGATGAAGTTAAACTTGCAGAACAATGGGAAGAGTTCAAGCAGCGAATAAAAATAAAAGCTATTGATCGTTCTTGCGCATTGAGTTACGAAAGGAAAAAGAAAGAAAAAGAACTCCTAAAGACTTTGGAAAGACTAATAGACTTGGAGTGCAAACAACCGGGAGAGTATAAAATTGACATACGCAATATTAAGCAGAAACTTGCTCTGTTTGACGAGGAACGCTACCGCGGTGCTCTCGTCCGTGCTAGGGCTGAGGCATTAGCGGCTGGAGAGACGCCGACCAAAAGAGCGTTAGGCGTGGAGAAAACAAACGCTCGACGGAATCATATCGAAAAAATAGAGAAGGACGGTCACGAAGTAACCGATACGGACAGCATTTTATCCGTATTTTCAAGTCATTTTGAAAACCTTTTTGCGTGTAGACAGGTAAACCTAGAAAGATTTAAAGAAGAATATTTAGGACGCATGCCGCAAGTGAGCGAGGAAGTGAAAAACGCTTTGGAATTATCTATATCTGCATCTGAAGTTGAACGGGCGATTGATAAGTTAAATCCCGGGAAATCTCCAGGACCAGATGGTCTTTGTGCCAAGTGGTACAAATGTTTTAAAAGTGAATTGTCTTCAATACTTGCGGGCGTTTTTAATGAGGCATATCAGGAAAAGAAATTACCACCATCCTTTGGTGAATCGCGTACCGTTCTGATTCCGAAAACAGACGAGGTTGAAAAGCTCAGGCACGTCACAGCGTACAGGCCAATCGCACTGACAAATGTAGACTACAAAATATTAATGAAAATTTTGGCAGCTAGATTTCAGTCAGTAATAAAAGATATCGTTGGTCGACACCAAACGTGTGGAATCAAAGGTCGGTCCATAGCTACAAATGTTCATAAAATGCGATCCGTGCTCGAATGTGTTGACACCAGTCAAGCTCGTGTGGCCATACTCCAGCTGGATCTGGAGAAAGCGTTTGATTGCGTTGCCCACACTCTTTTGTTTGCAGTATTGAAGCACATTAATGTTGGTAAGATAATTATTGACGGAGTAGCCATGGCATACCGGAATGGTAGTACGAGACTAATTATTAACAAGACATTGGGCCCCCCCATTAGAATTGAGCGCTCAGTGCGTCAAGGTTGCCTTGTTAGTCCACTTTTGTTTTGCATCTATATTAAAACTTTATGTCGGTCGATATTGCAGAATGACATCATTAATGGGTTTAGAGTACAATCTTCAGAGGTCAAACTACTCGCATACGCTGATGATGTTGCGATTTGTAGCACTTCCTATGTAGGTATTGAAGAATCAATCAGAGTTTCTAAATCTTTCGCCGAAGTTACAGGAAGCCACATAAACTGGGGTAAATGCCTCGGCTTCTGGCATGGATATTGGCCTTCAACACCAGAATTTTTTGCAGCCATTAAATGGACAAGAACGCCAGTTAAGTATCTCGGAGTACCGCTTGAGTCATACAAAAGTACTGATGAATATTGGACACAGCAAACGAAAGAAATTAAAGAGAAAGCGAATAGGTGTAATGCAACCTATCTGTCCATGTTTGCTAGGGCTACTGCATGCAACTGGTTTTTTGTGTCTAAGCTGTGGTATGTGATGCAAGTGCTATACTGTTCCCGGGTCAATGTGCAAAAATTACATCGGGTGTTTGCAGTATTTGTGTGGGGTTCTAACTGGGAAAGGTGCAGTCGCACGAATTTGTTTAGACGGGTGAAGTGTGGAGGCCTTGGGCTAGGTCATCTATTCATCAAGCAGTTAGTAAATAGGTTTTTCTTTTTTCGCGAGACAAGAGATCCTTTCCTACTAACAGTGTGTCAAACAAGACTAAGTAGACTGTTGCCCGAGTTTGTTGTGAGCACTCATGTTACCACAGGGGCTATGCAAGGATACATGAAGGAAGTTGTGGCCAGCGTGCGGTTTTTGTGTGTTCGTTTTTCAACTGACTACCTGTGGTCTGTTGGAAAGAAAAAACTGTACAAAGATTTATGTGACACGATGCTCCCCATCCCATTGTACAGAGCGCTATATACAGCACGCAAGGGTCAGAATGTACTTAAACGAGTTAAAAAATGCCAGCAGCTCCAAGTGCGAAAACGTTCTTTTTCAAATTACACACTGGAACACTTCCTGTAAGAACCTTCCTAGAGGAGCGTGGGTTTTATATGCCTTGGGGATCTCACTGTCTAATCTGTAAGAAACCGGAAACTATTGACCATGTATTTCTGCACTGTTGGAAGGTGTTTATTTTTGGGACGTATTACAAAGGACAATCAAGAAAGAGTTCCCGTTAGATCCTCATGGGATCAGGTATTTGGATATAGAGAATGAGGATGGATTACCTTTCGATTTTATTATGATGACTGCCTTGCACAGTATATGGCGCTCTAGAATGGCTGGATTTCATTGTGACCCAGACAGAAGACCAGCAAGAGAGTATTTTAAAGAAAGCATCTCAAGATTTCTCGAGGTAGTAAGAACAGACGAATGTGCACCTTTATGGGTAGAAAGGGTAGAAGCCCTACTGACCATGAAGGAATTCTAGAATGTGATGTGTTATAGTAATGCTTGACGGGCTTAGTTATTTTCAAGTTTTTTGTATTGTTCGTTGTGAATTGTGATATATTAAGCGTAGCAACCCGTTTGTGAAGTTTACCGGAAATAAAGAAAAAAAAATGGTGTGGCGCAGTGGTTAGAGTCATTTAATGAGAATCCGCAGGTTGCACGTTCGATCCTCCGTGGCGCCTTGTGTTTTTTTTACGGGACGGGTGTTTTTTATACCGTTTTTATAGAGTTCTTTTTTATTTTTTGTGGCAGCTCGTCACGGTGATTCTGACGTCATTTCGTGCTCAAGTGTTGCCGGCACTGCAGCACCCACCATACCCACCATGCGCCATGGTGGGTGTTTCCCACCATTCACCCACTACTTTAATCCACTATAATGGTGGGTGGTGGTTTCCACCATGCCCACCATTCATTTTTTTCCGATAGGGCTTGGTCCTCGCCAGTCGTTCTAGTGAAGAAAAAAGACGGAACGCTGCGATTTTGTATTGACTACAGGAAGCTTAATAGCTTCACGAAAAAAGACGTTTACCCGCTTCCACGGGTCGACGACTCTCTCGACAGATTACGACGCGCGAAGTATTTTTCGTCCATCGATCTAAAGAGTGGCTATTGGCAAATTGAAGTGGATGAACGAGACCGAGAAAAAACTGCGTTTGTGACTCCAGACGGACTTTACGAATTCCGTGTTCTTCCCTTCGGCCTCTGTTCTGCCCCAGCCACTTTTCAGAGAATGATGGACACAGTTCTCGCTGGCTTGAAGTGGCAAAGCTGCCTTGTCTACCTCAATGATGTGGTTATCTTTTCCGAGAGCTTCGAAGAACATCTGAAGCGTCTGAGAAAGGTTCTGGACGCCATTCGCACAGCTAAACTCACGCTGAAACCCCAAAAATGCCATTTCGGCTGCGAAGAGCTGAAATTTCTGGAGCATGTCATTAGTGCGGATGGAGTGCGACCTGATCCAGACAAAACTGCTGCTGTCGCCGCCTTCCCTGTTCCATGAGATAAAAGAGCAGTACGCCGTTTCCTCGGCTTGTGCGCGTATTATCGCCGATTTATCGCCAACTT